CCCTACGCTTTCGGTCGGCCCACTTCTTGGTCTGTTTCCCCGCCTTGTGCAAACAAGCTCGGGCTAAGTCTTGTTACTCGTGCCGCTCCTTGGCAACATTGTGTATTGATGGATTGGACCCTTCATACTTGGTAACAACCGTGTTGGGTGTCAATAGTTGTTGCCTGGTCATGACCTCGAATGAACTCTAGTTTGTCGCCTTGCTCCGTTGCAAATTGTAGGAAAATTGGGCCACATCCAATGACTTTGGCCAGTCTCGTTGGTTGGCACTCACATAGTGCCTCAGATAGATCTCTAATAGAGCATTTACTTGCTCAGTTTACCCATCGATTTATGGATAAACTGCGATGGAAAAGTTCAAGCTCGATCCCATCAGTTTGAACAACTCCGTCCAGAACCTCCCTGTGAATTGCGTGTCTCGGTCACTAATGATGGTTTTAAGCATTCCCCAATACTTCACCACATGCTTGAGGAAAAGTCGAGCCGCCTTTACAGCTGGACACACCTTAGATGCGGGTATGAACGTCGCATACTTTGAAAACTTGTCAACCCACAACCATTATGCTAGAAAGTCCATCAGTCTTGGGCAAACCTATTATAAAATCCATAAAAATACTCTCCCATGAGCGCTCTGGAATGGGAAAAGGTTGCAGCAATCCCGCCGATTCTTTGCCTCTATTTTGTCTTGCTGGCACACAAGACAAGTCTTTACGTAGGCCTACACATATTCAGTCATGTTTGGCCAATAATACTGCTCCGAAAGTAGGGCCAAAGTCCGATCAACTCATGGATATCCCGCCCACTTGGAATCATGGCATTCCTTCATAAGCTCCTTGCGTAACTTCCCATATCGAGGCACAAAAAGACGATGTCCTCGATAATAAAGTAATTCTCCCTCGAGCCAGAACTCCCTGGTTCGCCCCTCCTTGGCACCATCAATGATTCGCTCTGCCACTGAGTCATGGGGCAACCCTTCTCTGATTCTCTCGAGTAATGTACCTTCCACAGTCTCGATGGCATACCTCTGGCTTAAGCCATACGCAACACAATTCATCTTTCCTGGCTTGTACTCCATGGAAAAGTCAAACTCGGCAAGGAATTCTTGCCAACAAGCTTGCTTGGGAGAAAGCTTCTTTTGCGTGAGAAAGCAATTGTTGGCAACATTGTCCGTAAACACCACGAACTTGGACCCATCAAGTAATCTCTCCATGTGCGTAAACAGTGCACCACCGTGGTCATCTCCTTTTCATGAACCGAGTACCTCCTCTCGGTCTCATTGAGTTTCCAGCTCTCATATGCAACCGGATGTCCTTCTTGCATAAGGACTCCACCATTAGCAACATCGGATGTATCAGTGAAAATAACAAATTGCTTGGTGTAATCTGGTAACACCAACACGGGCTCAATCACCATGGCTTCCTTGATCTTCTCAAAAGCGTCTTGGCACTTCGAGTTCCTTTCCCACACCTTATCCTTATTGAGCAACTCGGTCAAAGTTGTGGCAATCTTGGAATAACCCTTCACAAACCGTCGATGGTAGTTGGTTAATCCCAAGAATACTCGTAATTCAGTTACTTTGGTGGATGGCTTCCACTCATCAATTGCCCGAATCTTGTCTCTGTCCATCTGGAGCTTGCCTCCTCCAATAATATGGCCTAGGAACGAAACTTCCTTATGCGCAAACGAGCACTTTTCCTCTTTAACATAGAGCTCGTTCTCTCGTAAGACTTGGAACACCCTTCTCAAGTGTTCAACATGTTCCTCCAAGGTCTTACTATATACTACGATGTCATCAAGGTAAACTATAACAAATCGATCAAGAAAGGGTTGTAGTACCTTATTCATTAACGTGCAGAAGGTAGCAGGGGCATTTGTGAGGCCGAAGTGCATCACAAGGAACTCATATGAACCGTAGCGTGTCACACAAACAATCTTCGGTTCATCGTCTTCAGCTATCCGGACTTGGTAGTATCCGGACCGTAAATCTAACTTGGTGAACCACTTCGCACCACCAAGTTGATCGACAAGTCGGTAATCAATGGGATTAGGTATTTGCTCTTCACTGTGAGCTTATTCAAAGCTCGATAGCCGATGCACATTCTGAGGGAACCGTCATACTTCTTTTGGAATAGCACCGGTGCACCAAAGGGTGCCTTTGACGGTCGGATATATCCTGCATCTAGGGGCTCCTTCAACTGTCTGCGAAGCTCCTCTAACTTCGGTGGGGCCATTCGATATGGTGCCTTGGCGGGTGGCTCTGTATTTGGCACAAGCTCAATCTTGTGGTCCACATCTCTCTTCGGTGGTAAATGCTTTGACAACTCAATTGGCATCACATCCTTAAACTCTGCCAATAATTATCCCACTTCTGTTGGGACTTCCTTGGTTATTGTGGGTTTAACATCTACCAATGAAGCCACAAAGGTGGGTTCCTCCTTGCGCACCCCCTTTAGAATTGGATCACAGACAACATCTTGGCATTGATTCCGGATTCTCTACTCACCAGAACAATGCATTGGCGTTTAAGATCACAAATTACTAGGCAATCGACGAATGGCAAGGGGAATGCATTAATCCGATCAAGGAAACTAATCCCAATAATAAAATCAAAATCATTGATTGGGATTACCTTTATGGACTCTTTCCCGGTCCATCCTCCAAGGCTGAGTTAGATTCCTTTTGCTTCTCCAACTGTCGGAACCTCCTTGGTATTGACAGTTTTAATGAACCCACTTTTCTTCTCTACCCGAAGATCAAGTTTCTTGGCAGCTTGTTCCGACAAGAATAACTTTGAGGCACCTGTGTCCACTAGTGCACTCATCTTTTGGCCTGCCACGGTGATGTCTACATACATCAGTCTCTTCTTCTTGCGTCCCTTCTTGATCTCCATGAAACTAAACTTCAAGGTCTCATTCTCTTCCCCATCACTCTCCTTAATGGCTGAAACTTTCACGTGTTGAGGACAATCTCTCTTCATGTGATTTCCTCCACAAGTATAGCACGATAATTCCCCCTTCTTCTCCTAAGGATTGGAGAGCTTTTTGGTTCGATCATTTGGCTTCCCATGATTCCCTGATGGCTTGTGAAAGCTTCCTTTAGCCTTTTCTCCCCCATCATTACCTTTGGGTTTTGACTTTAATTTGAAAGAGTCGGTATTCTTTACTTCAAACGGGGCAATGGCCTCGGCCGCATCCAATGCCTTGGAGAGTTCAGTCAGTCCTCTTCACTAGATCTCCATGTTGGCCCAACGTTGTAAATCATCCATGAATGCAAAGAACCCTTATGACTCCCCCAAGTCTGGGATTTGCATCTTTATCTCAGTGAAGCTCTTGACATACTCCAAGATCGAACGATCATGCTTCAACTGTTTCAGTTTCGCTTGAGCCTCGAGCTGAGCATTCTTTGGATAGAAATGCTCATTGAGTTCTCTCACGAACTCTTCACATGTCCCGACTGGATTTGCTTTCTCGGAACACCTACGTCGCCACCATAACATAGCAACATCAGTAAGATAATTTGAAGCAATATTTACCTTGGTGGTATCATCCCCGATACCCATGCCACGGAAGAATTGCTCCATGCCCCATATGAAATTCTCCACATCTTGGGCAGTTCGACTCCCCTTGAACTCATTCGACTTAGGGACGTCGATCTTGGGTCTTGGTGCTTTCGCCTCCCCAGTCACCCCATTCAACACGACAACTTTATAGACAAGCAGCTCGCTCTTGAGCTTATTTACCTCCTGGATCATTTCGGCCCTCATGGCCAAGTACATGATCCTAGGCCTCGGGTACGCCCATCAATGTTCTCTGCCATATTATTTATGAGTGTTTGAGTTTCTTGGTGAAGTACATCCTCCATAGACTCCAGATTCTCTAAGCGAGATTCAATCGAGTCTTGAGTCTCTTGGACTTCATTATACTGATCTTCTAACCTTCCAACCCTTTGCTCAAATGACGCCACGATATCCTTCGAGCTTCTACGCTTCTTTGCAGCAACAACACGAGTCTCTATTACTTCACTGGCTTTTGGGATATCGTCTTAGTTGTGTTGTTCCATTTCTCGCAAAACTAGCTCTGGTACCACTTGTCACGCCCTTGAAACTTCGATGCCTCGGAACGTGCGGCCTTAGTCGTCTTCTTAGTGATTGCGGCTAAGTAAGCCTGAAAATAACCCAAGCAATGATGCTTAGATTCACAACAGAAGCAAAACAAGAGAACTAACACAAAAGGAAGATAAGAAAGCTTTGAGAGAATAATGCTCTTATGATTTCTCAAAGTGAATGAGTAAGTACAAATGAGGAGGTGAGACCTCTATTTATAGTTGAAGCCCCCCTCAATGAACGGCTAAGATCTAATTATATGGACGACCTAGATTGAAAGCACTTTACCTAATCCCACCAATCAAGGGATTATGTTTTCTATACAAAGTTGTAAAGTCTTCCCGGGTCCGAAAAGTTGAAAACAACATTTAAGTAGTCTTAGACTAACCTCAGTTGTGGGCTCTTGGTCCGTGACACTATACAATTATCAGGTGTGATAGCAAATCATTCAACTATACAATTTTCAGGTGTTTGTGTCAATTATCGCTGGTCGTATAAGAGAAGAAATATTCCGCTATCATTCTTCTTAGTTTTAAGTGATTAAAGGTGACTTAAGATAACCATATATATATGGTTTTAATATTGATTTTCCAAATTTAGCGGCTTAAAATTTTCTCGAATTATTATAAAATAATTTATTAAAAAACATATATATATATATATATATATTATTAATTTGAATATATATATATAATTAAAGTAAATTATTAGAATATATATTTATTTATATAATATGTTTTTGATGAGTCAAATAACATATATTAAGATTGATAAAAATTCATAAATGGAAAAAAAAATAATGCAACGATAATTTCCATAAAAATGATATTTTTATTGTACAACACACTTTAGATTTCATTTCCCCCTTCTAATTTACACCTCCCTCCATTATTTTTTTACTGCAAAAATACATGTTAAGCCTAACAAATCCTACTTAACATTAGACAAAATACAGAAAATATTACCCTTTATGCAGTTAAGTTTCACTTTTTGCTCCACGGCGAGCACCTAGAAGTGACTGTTCAGCAGAAAAAGAAAAAGAAACACATAAGGATATGTAAGTTCTAAGAGACTATTTTATGAGATGAGTGTTGGATACGAATATGTAGGCATGTTAAAATGCAAGACTACATCCAACTGATAGCCCTAGCCCGGCCTCCAAGACATGTTAGAATCTTGCCATCGGACCAGCTCGGGCCATTTGAATAAAGAGAACTGGAAACAAATTGGCCAATGGCTTGACCTAGGGATGGTAGACATCTGACATAAATATGCTAATATATGTATTGGATACGGGTGCTCCAAAAACAATAAAGATCGGTTAACATAAAACGGACATGCATAGCAAAGACATGTTGCCCTTATAAATGCAGGGTTCTTTTAGCATCTTTCTATGTTAAGAAACTTACCAAATTAAGAAGTTGTAGAGCCGCAGGCCTGGTGAATTTTCTTGCAAAAAGGAAGCACGGGGCTGGCTTCCCCTTGCTACTGCACCATTCTCTTCGGTTTTCGGTCTCGTAATGAATATTGTCAATATCCTACATAAGTCATTCGTTCACTTCATGAAATACAATCTATGTTACTCAAAATTGGCTGTGAGTATTTGATATGGGTATGTGCAATTTTAATTGGAGGAGCATCATGTCCTCATACCATATCCAAGTATGCATCGGAATGATTTTTAGTTAAATTGATTAGTTTCGAATTAGTTTCCAATGCAAATGTCTACCAAATATTATTCTAGATCTTTTAGTTTTGAATATAAAAAAATGTAGAGATCAGGAGATCAATAATTCATTACCATCTAGGAGCTCAAAGGAAGGGCAAAGATACCTTTATAGATTTAATAAGCTTGGGCGTGGCATCGGAAAACTTATAAGTCACCGGATGCCATCCACGGCGCTCACGATCTTTAGAGGCTGAAAGATCCCATGCAGAATAGGTTAACGATCTTTGTGTAATTTCTCCTTCAAAACCTTCTTGCTGTATAGTTTCAAGGAGATGGTATTACAAAGAGAGACAATAACTTGAAAAACAAAAGAAAGAATGGCAAAAGCAGTACTATTATTGGCACTTCAATGCATTTCAAGACGAGAACAGAAAAATTTAACATCCTTAGGATATTTGGTTGTTGTAGTGACTCGGTAGCAATTCGGAATATTATTTTCCAATAAAAGGATACTTTTTATATCAACCCAAGAACTAAAGAAAGAAGACAAAAGGGGCGGTTCAGACTTGAGACAAATTCTTACAGCAAGTAATGTCTGAACATAATGTTCATCAGGTATACAATTGTGCTCCTTTGCAGGATCAGCTGGCTGCTCATTATCGAATGATAAGATCATTCCATCCATTAGAACACTTAAAAAGTATAAAGAAATTTGAACTTCATGTGAAATCATATTGATAATATATAAAAAATGATATTTCATACTTACAAAGGGACGATCTCGCCAAAACTCCGGCAAGGATTTCCTCTGCAGATTATTGATTAGGTAAAATATGAGAAAAGAACATATAATTAAAACCACGGAAACTTCCCGGATCATGGGTTTTATCATGCTACTTGCAATGGAGCCAAAATAACACTCCATTTAGCAAAGTTCATTCTCAAAACATGTAAAGGAAGCATTAATGTTAGCGTGAAAGGCTTAAGAGTCACAACATTCTGTGACTAAAAGGCCAGCAGTCACAAATACAAGATAACTTGCCTTGCAACGTTGTTGGAACATTGGAAAGACTGTAGTATCATTTACAACCACCTCTGCATGCTTTCTTGTTAGCACAACCCACTGCAAGATAAGCATATCATACAATGATTATGGTCATACCACTGCAAAGTTCTTGCAACAAGTATACATACTGTTTTACTTTCTTTTATATCGATGAAAGCATTGGAAAATGTCAATTACAAAAGCTTAACCATTACCTGAGATCCTTTCCTCCAGTTGTAAACAGGAATAACAGGATCCATTTTTGGGTTGTATCGACCCTCTTTTGTATCAGCAAAGCTGATCACAAAGCATAAGAACTTTCAGAAAGAAAATCTTCAAAGACTCGTAGAAGCCTATAGTTGATTCCATTTAGACGACAATATCGGTGCATCTTAAAGCTAGTTCAGTATTAAGTATTCAAACTCATTTTTGGTTTAATATTTATTCCCCATAGCAAGGTCATCATGGGAAAAACTAATTAAATCAGAAAATAAATATTATAGGAAAAGGTGAAATGACATATGTATGTATAGAATATACTTTCTCAGTTTCTTGGTCAAGAATCAGGTCTTCAGCTTTTTCTTACTGACAGAGAAAGCATCACATGTAATACACAACACATTTCAAATATGCAGGGTAAAAAATACATAAGAAATGTAAATGCAGCCGAAAAGTTATTATTTAATCACCATTTTGCTCTATAAGTGACATAAGACTAAGCTCTATCACGAAACCATTTGAACACTTCAAATTTTAGTTGTAAATTTCTATTCCAGATATATATTAATAATGGATGGCATGTGAAATACAAGAAATGAATAGAAAAATTGGAACTCCAAGTTCAACTAACCTGTCAACAAAACTAGTTGCTGTAGACATGATATAATCATACGTGTAACTGAAGTTATAAATAGGTATACAGCTGAGAGGAAGCCAAGAAACTGAAGCATCGTTAGAAATCACATTTTCAGAAAAAGAGCGTTCTCTTAGCTTTGAAACTGAAAACAATACAAATAAAGCTTTTACAGCACTGTCATCATAAAATCCTCACCTATCTGAGACAAAAACAAAGCGTTCGTTATAAGGATCTGTTAATGCATGTCTAAGCAATATACGCTCAGCCTCAATCATAGTCGCTTCTCCCCAATCTACCTGAAATAGAACACATGAACTAAAATCTCATCATGTCAAGAAAAACAGAAATTTGTTGGTTCACTTTCTATCACCAGTTATGATTGTTTGCATAAGTGATTTTTTCAGACAAAAGGCTCAAGTAAATTTTCAGATACATCAATACCAGACACCAACAAACACGTCAGTATAACAACTCTATCATAATGTTAAAATCTAAAGTGATTGTAATTCTACCCTCAGATCTTCTGGTCTAGCTATAGCAGGTCTCAAGTGTAAAGGGTCAGACCCTTCGACAATTGACCAACTCCACGGGCAAACATGTTGATAATTTCATATCGAAAATAGTACATCTTCCATTCACGGAAAAGAGGAGTCGCATATACAAGTCCGTGCAACAACAAATTGACCTTAAGGCAGCGCCAGGAAGGTTGTTACTGCTTCGTGGCTTCTATTGCAACTTCTAGTATTTGAAAAGCAAAATTTATTGCATAATCTTCCCTATCATGTCAGTAAAATCTCAGGAAATCAAAATTCAACATGTCATTTACAGCTGCAATATTAGCATAAGCACCAGAATGAAGACAAGTGACAACATAAACACATTTATAGACACCGGAATAAAGCATCAATTGCATATGACAATAAAAAAAAACAAGTTGGAATTTCTTTTAATTATAACTTGAAAAAAAAAACAGTATAAAATTTAACCTGTATACTATCATTAGCTTGCCGGTTCAAAAAAACAGCGGATCTCGTTGTTCCTTTGTTTAACAAAAAACCAGGCCTAGAATGAACATAAATTGAAAATACGTTCTCTTCTCCCTGGAAAAATAAAAAATAATTAAAAATAATTATCATGATGATCTGGATCTTAATGCAAAAAGTGAGCATCATAATTTCTCTAATTTCAATCTATAAAATATTTAGTAAATAATTTAAGAAAAATGCAGCAAAAAAAGAGAATATAACAAACTTTATGCACTCACATATGCTAAAATTGGAAACATAGTAAAGCACACTACATGTCATCATATTAAGCAGGGTTTTACTACATTCATGAATAATTAAAAGCATTAAATTGAAGTACCTTGAAAAAAGCATCCCAAATCATATCGAGAGGAAGCCGATTCCTGGCGATGAAAAGGAAGGCGATCTTCGGCTTGACCGTGAAACGATGTCGTAAAGAAGCCAACGAGACGATCCGTGAGTACTGCGTCTCCACTACCACAAAACTCGCTAGACAAAGCGACACTAAAAGCGCCGCCAAAACCTTCCTCTTCCATCTAATTTGCGATTTCTGCTGCACCGGTTTTCGCTTCATCGCACTCATTTCTTTCTTTACTTCTTTATTTTCCTTCGATTTCTATCACTTCAACAACACCAACACCGCCGGTGCCACCATTTTTTACTTACTACTCTCGCGCTTTCATGCGTGAGAGCTTCAAAATCAGTTGAATTTTGTTGATAATTTGAAAGGGAAAAGGAAAACGAATTAGTATTTTTGTTTGTTTGGAGAGAAAGTGGAAAGGAAAATAATGTGGGAAAATATGCTGAAGTGATTATGAAAGCGAGGGTGGGTTTTTGAAGAAAGTGAAGGAACTTGGACCTCCGATGCGGGAGTCGTAAAGGGCAGACGGTTCTTTTACTAAAGCTTGCGTGAGATGAAGGAGATCAGAACCCTTTTCAACACAGATCCACTAGCCTTCATTTTCTTCCTTTCCCGGACAAAAATTAAAATAATTTAGTTAATAATATTATTGTTTCGTACGATAGGGTTAACGTATTATAATAAGCAATTAATTGTGATCTCTTTGATAAAAAAGTATTCAGTTTAATTTTATATAAATTAGAAAAAAATTATAAATGTTATTAAATCGATTCGAAACTCATCGATTTCAAATAAAAAATAATTTTATATTTTCTTATTTATTAAAAATCACATTTCTTAAGTATGGGTTAAACACACACGCTTCAAAGGAGTAATGAGTTCAAGATAATGGTTAAACTTGGAAGGAGTAATGATTATAACTTAAATGAAAACAAAGAAGAAGTGGCATTGATTATAACTTTGTGTTTCGTTGGGATGAGAAATAAATTAATTGAGAGCACGAGGTGCTAACAAACTGGTTGTTAGAGACTTGTTTGGTGAAAAATAAAAAAGGTGGGGTTTATTAACCCTAAAGAAATGCAACTACTAAAAGTGGGGTATTGGCCAAGTAAAGCCAAATCATTAGCGGTCAATGCCAAAATTGTGTGATTTATCAACCTCCTTGCTTCGAACAACCATGGAAGACAATTAGGGGGCGTAAAAAGCTGACTCGACCTGTAAAACTGACTGAAACTGACTCGAGTTAAAACTGTTTTTAACCTACGCTGTAGCGATCTGAAACCGACTTGCATCCGACTGATATGAACATGAACCCGAGTTGGACCTAGAAATTGTGGATTCGAACCCGACTTGCATCCGACCTGAGAACAACCTGAACTTGAATTGAACCGAAAAAATGATACCTGAAACCGACCTGCATCCGACTGATATGAACCTGAACCCGAGATTGACCTGGTAAATAATTGGTATTACCCGACCTGTTTTCAACCTGACCTGTAAATGATCCGACTTGTTAATGACCTGGTCTGATATTTACCTGACTTGATATTTACCTTACTTATATATTACCATGGACGAAATTATAAGATTTTAATAAAATTATGAGTTTTTTAGTTTAAGATGTAATTAAAAAATTAATATGATTACTTTTTAAATACTATAATAAAATATTTATTATGATAATTAAATTAATAAATAGACCTATTATATAAAATTATTTAATAAAATTAATAAAATTATTTAAATGTAAATTATATAAAACATGATTAATTAGGTGTTAAATAATTAGTATGTCACATTGCATATTATATGGTTCATAAATAGTAGTGCATGTCATATTAATTTCATTTGCATAATTAGTATTTTACTTGCATGTTAGGTTAATTCACATTAATAGTCCATTTATTTTGTTGTTATGAATAAGTAATAATAAAACCAAAAAATAAGTCAATTTGCATTAGTGCTAGTCCATTTACATTAGTTACATAGGCCCAATACATAAGCCCACTCTTTTATTACAAATATATATGCATTAGTGCTAGTCCATTTACATTAGGATTTGTGATTTAGGATTTAATATTTAGTGTTTATGGTTTAAAGTTTAGGGTTTAGGGTTTCTATAAACTACATAATTTATTACTTTATATAGCTTATGCATAATGTTTCTATAAGTAATATAATTAATTTACTTTATATAGTTTATATTTATATATATATGTTATATATATATATATATGTTATATATATATATAGTTTATATATACTATACATGGTTTATACATACATATTATATAAAATTATCTAATAAAATTAATAAAATTATTTAAATGTAAATTATATAAAACATGATTAATTAGGTGTTAAATAATTAGTATGTCACATTGCATATTATATGGTTCATAAATAGTAGTACATGTCATATTAATTTCGTTTGCATAATTAGTATTTTAGTTGCATGTTAAGTTAATTCACGTTAATAGCTCATTTATTTTGTTGTTATGAATAAGTAATAATAAAACCTAAAAAATAAGTTCATTTACATTAGTGTTAGTCCATTTACATTAGTTTACATATGCCCAATACATAAGTCCACTCTTTTATTACAAATATATATGCATTAGTGCTAGTCCATTTATATTAAGGTTTGTGATTTAGGGTGTAATATTTAATGTTTAGTATTTAGGGTTTAAATTTTAGGGTTTAGAGTTTCTATAAACTATATAAGTAATTTATTTTATATAGTTTATATATATTATACATGGTTTATACATACATATTATATAAAATTATTTAATAAAATTAATAAAATTATTTAAATGTAAATTATATAAAACACGATTAATTAGGTGTTAAATAATTAGTATGTCACATTGCATATTATATGGTTCATAAATAGTAGTACATGTCATATTAATTTCATTTGCATAATTAGTATTTTAGTTGCATGTTTGGTTAATTCACATTAATAGCCCATTTATTTTGTTGTTATGAACAAGTAATAATAAAACCCAAAAATAAGTCCATTTGCATTAGTACTAGTCCATTTTCATTAGTTTACATATGCTCAATACATAAGCCCACTCTTTTATTACAAATATATATGCATTAGTGCTAGCCCATTTATATTAGGGTTTGTGTTTTAGGGTTTAATGTTTAGTGTTTATGGTTTAAAGTTTAGGATTTAGGGTTTCCGTAAACTATATAATTTATTATTTTATATAGTTTATGCATAATTTTTCTATAAACTATATAAGTAATTTACTTTATATATATATATATACTATATATGGTTTATATATACATATTACCATGGACGAAATTATAAGATTTTAATAAAATTATGAGTTTTTTAGTTTAAGATGTAATTAAAAAATTAATATGATTACTTTTTAAATTTTATAATAAATATTTATTATGATAATTAAATTAATAAATACACCTATTATATAAAATTATTTAATAAAATTAATAAAATTATTTAAATGTAAATTATATAAAACGTGATTAATTAGGTGTTAAATAATTAGTGTGTCACATTGCATATTATATGATTCATAAATAGTAGTACATGTCATATTAATTTCATTTGCATAATTAGTATTTTAGTTGCATGTTAGGTTAATTCACATTAATAGCCCATTTATTTTGTTGTTTTGAATAAGTAATAATAAAACCAAAAAATAAGTCCATTTGCATTAGTGCTAGTCCATTTACATTAGTTTACATAGGCCCAATACATAAGCCCACTCTTTTATTACAAATATATATGCATTAGTGTTAGTCCATTTACATGAGGGTTTGTGATTTAGGGTTTAGTTTTTAGGGTTTAAAGTTTAGGGTTTCTATGAACTACATAATTTATTGCTTTATATAGTTTATGCATAATATTTCTATAAACTATATAAAGTAACTATATAAATAATTTACTTTATATAGTTTATATATATTTAGGATATATATATATATATATATATATAGTTTATATATACTATACATGGTTTATACATACATATTATATAAAATTATTTAAATGTAAATTATATAAAACATGATTAATTAGGTGTTAAATAATTAGTATTTCACATTGCATATTATATGGTTCATAAATAGTAGTACATGTCATATTAATTTCGTTTGCATAATTAGTATTTTAGTTGCATGTTAGGTTAATTCACGTTAATAGCCCATTTATTTTGTTGTTATGAATAAGTAATAATAAAACCTAAAAAATAAGTTCATTTGCATTAGTGTTAGTCCATTTACATTAGTTTACATAGGCCCAATACATAAGCCCACTCTTTTATTACAAATATATATGCATTAGTGCTAGTCTATTTATATTAAGGTTTGTGATTTAGGGTTTAATGTTTAGTGTTTAGGGTTTAAAGTTTAGGGTTTAGGGTTTAGGGTTTCTATAAACTATATACTTTATTATTTTATATAGTTTATGTATAGTGTTTCTATAAACTATATAAGTAATATAGTTTATATAGTTTTTATATATAGGTATATATATATATATATATATATAATATATATTATACATGGTTTATACATACACGTACTATAAGTTACAAATATAATTCAGGGGTTAGGGTTAAGTGTTAAGCGTCAAAGGTTTAGGGTTCCCAATTTAATGTTTACGGTTTCTATAAACTATATATATATAATATATAGATTACTTATATTAGTTATACATACATATATATACTATATTAATATAAATTATAATTTATAAAGTATATAATTTATATAGTTATACATATATAGTTTATATATCTATAATTAAAAGTAATTAGAATGTATACAGGATTAAATTGCATCGAATTGAAAATTTAAGAAGATATTTACAATTAAACCATGACTAAAATGAAAGAAATTCAAAATCAAATACAAGTGAAAAAATGATGATTGTTGGATGAGCATGAGCCTAATTAATCCAAAATATCTTATTGGACATTATATTTGGCGCCAACTTCAAAAAAAATTATTCCCTCTAAATTCCCAATTTCCCTATACTCTTAAAATTTCTCAATTCCCCTCTAAATTCCCAAATAAAATAAAAAAATTTCACACAAAAAAATCCTTCTTTTAAATTTTTTTCTCCCACTACTCACTTTGAATAATATATATATATATATATATATATATATAGTATATACATAAATTTATATATATAATTAAACATAAGTGACTAAAATAAAAGATTCTAAAATTAACATTAACATTTAATAATTATGCACATTAAAGAAAGAAGGGGAAATTAAAAATAATTAGAATTATATACATGACTAAATCATATTGAATTAAAAATTCAATAAATGATTTACAATTAAACTGTGACTGAAATGAAAAAATAAAAAATCAAATAACAAAATAAAAAAAGTTCTGATTGATGGAGGATTGAGGGCCTAATTAACCCAGTCCATTTCATTGGGCACTAAACCTTCCTACCATGCCCGAAAATTTCCCTAAAAATTTTTCAAATTATAAAATCAAATTGCCAAAATTCCCTCAAAAATTTTCCCACCTCTAAATTTGTCAATTATAAGGTCAAATTTTACCAATTCCCACCTC